TGGTTCTGAAAAGAAAGGTGGGGATGGTCAAAAAAATGATGCCACCCTGGGAAGGCCCATACAGAATTGCAGAAGTCATTGGCAAGGGGGCATATACGTTGGAAACCATGGCGGGAAGGTTGGTCAGCAAGCCCTGGAACGCCACGTCTCTGAAGAGGTACTACCAATAAAAGCTAAGTTCTGGCTTTAATTGGATGTTGTTTGTTGTCAATCAAATACGTATGAATGAGCAAGTTACTGGAATTTACAAAAAAGAATTTTCTTTTCCAACGGTCTACTATAAAAACTTAAAGCCAAGTGGCAAGTGGCATTCTAGCCGAGCGCCAGGCACTTGAGCAAGATAAGTGGCAGCTGGCACTATAAGCCGAACGCCAGACACTTGCTAAAAATTTAAAGCCAAGTGGCAAGTGGCATTCTAGCCGAGCGCCAGGCACTTGAGCAAGATAAGTGGCAGCTGGCACTATAAGCCGAACGCCAGACACTTGCTAAAAATTTAAAGCCAAGTGGCAAGTGGCATTCTAGCCGAGCGCTAGGCACTTGAGCAAGATAAGTGGCAGCTGGCACTATAAGCCGAACGCCAGACACTTGCTAAAAATTTAAAGCCAAGTGGCAAGTGGCATTCTAGCCGAGCGCCAGGCACTTGAGCAAGATAAGTGGCAGCTGGCACTATAAGCCGAACGCCAGACACTTGCTAAAAGCTTAAAGCCAAGTGGCAAGTGGCATCCTAGCCGAGCGCCAGGCACTTGCCGTAAACAAACACACGGCAAAGCTAATATAAAAGAAAAAGAGAGAAAAGATATGTATGTACTGAAGATGAGTTGAATAGAGCACAACACATAGGGAAAAAGAGTTCTGTCATTTCATTAATATTGAACATTGAGTTTACAAAAGAGAGATGTCCATCATTACAAGAAGATATGAAATAGAAGAATTCGAAGGAGCCCTAACTAGACGCCTCAGTACCAACAGCATCCTGGTCGTGCCGACTCGCCTCCTCGGCCCCATCAGCCGCCTCACCTTCATGAGGTGGGGAATCAAGGTGAATGACTGAATCGTTCGGCTGGGGTTCAGCGTCAGCAGTGGCTATAGAAGGAACCACGGTTGACGATTGGGGAGCGGTCAGTGGCAGAGCGGTAGGAGGAGCTGTGATGATCCTTGAGGATGCGATGTCCTGGCACTCATCAAATATACGCTCCGCTTCGGTAGGTTCTGGGTCGACATAGACCCCCAGAGGTTCGATCCCCAGATCCTTGTCTACCTCATCCGGAGTGGAGCTGGTCTGTCCCTCATCCGGAACCCGGTCGGCGAAACCTTCCCGGAATCCTTGAGCATACCTAAGAGCACCGACCCTTGAGAACCGGGCGTGAAGGGCCAGCATCCCACCACCCACTCTGCTGATCGCGTCGATCAGAGCGGTACGCTCGTCCAGAGCTCTTCTTTCAAAGGCCATCCGAGCAGATTGTTCATCAGCTAGAAGGCGCTGGAGTTCTGCCTTCTCTTCTCTAATTGATTCCCGCTCGGTCTGCCAGACGCTCTTCTCAAGCTGGAGGGCGTCCTTCTCATCCTGAAGGGAATCATTCTCCTTCTTCAGGACATCTCTCTCTTGCTCGGTTTTGTCAAGCCGAACCAGCACCTCGGTATTCTTCATGGCAAGGAGGTCGTTTTCTTTATTAGCCACCTCCAGGCTGTCAGAATACTTACGGGCCCTGGCGTTCCCCATCTCCACCTGCTTCTGCATGGCCATCATCCCGAACAATGTCTGCATAGGTGCACATTAAAAACGGTTAAACCAATAGTCAGAACGGGCGAAGGCAAGACCAAGTAATATGAGAGAATTCATGAGTTAGAAAATAAAAGTCACCTCCATAGCAGATTGGGGAAAGCGACTGAACACGTCCTTCTGGGAAAGGCCCTTTGCCGCCTCAAGGTCCTTCGGAGTCCACATGCTCCTGTAGTAGGCCATAGCGGTCTGGCCATCCTTCAGCATGGTCTCGTTCGGTTTCACGAACGTCCCATCCGTTCGGGTGTACCGAGGGGCCCATGGCGGTAAGCTGGGGATAGAAGGGGGGCCTGAAGCAGAAGCAGAGCCACCAGCTGCAGGAGGCCCAGAGGGAGAAGGAGCTCTGATCGCTCGGTGCAAGAGAGTACCCGGCCCAGAGACCCGGGTCCTTCTAATGAGAGGCTCCTCCTCAGGATCGATTTCACTGTCAGGATGAGGCCTTTTGCCTCGTTCTTTGTCCCGACCGCCCCCCGCAGCAGCAGGAGCTATGGTAGCTGGGGAGGGCGCGTTCTGGTTGGCAGCAGGGGCGCCGGCAAAAGGGTTAGTAGCCACTGCGCTCGGGACAGTGTCAGATATGGTGGCTGAAGAAGAAGCTGACGCTGGAGAGGAGGTCGCCCCAGCAGCAGGAGTGGCTGGGGGAGTATTTTTCCTCCTGCCAAAAGAGGGAATCTGAAGTCTGCTCATGTTGTAGCCGAGTGATGAGAGCGCTAAGAGGTTGTCTGAAGTGAGGAGATCTGAGCAGGAAGGAATATCGTTCAGAACGTATCTCTTCAAGTAGTTACTCCTATCCCTGCAAACACTATAGCTCAAGTCATCACAAGGTATTCCCAAGGAGCGGCATAAGTAAGTGCAAAAACGAGGAACGCATGTTTCACAGGGGCAGTCATGTTTATGGGATTTGAATTTTTTATAGGAGGAGACAGAGCAGACACCAAAGGCGCTCGGGATTGGGTAACCCTCTGCAGCCAGCGAAGACCAAGCCCCACTAATGCCCACTATGCTATCCCTCCAACCCTTTTCAGATTTTATTGTGTCAGTACATATGGACATCTTCTCGAACGGGTAGAAGTGGTAGAAGGGCTCGTTAGTACGGATCTTACTCACCTTATAGCACAGAAGGAGGTCTATGAGGTCGAGGTCCAGATTTCTGTCACGCATCAACAAGAGCATAACAGATATGATTCTAAAGAAGTTGGGGTTGACCTGCAGAGGGGATATCCCCAATCTATTGAAGACATAACTAAAGAAAGGGTGCAGAGGGAACCTAACAACATTCAATTGAAGGTTCGTGAATAAGACTTCGCCAGGCAGGAGGCCGGCGCCAGTCGTAATATTAACGTCTTGGGGGCAAACCCTAACTTCGATGTTGTCAGGAAGTCTAAGTCTCATACGAAGAACATCCAGATCTACAACCATGGTGGAAGTGATAGAAGAATCTACAAGAGGGTAAATGGAAGCCTGCCGAAAGTAAAAAGAACGAAACTAACCTCGGAGGACTGCAAGATCGCTGGAAGAATGACTCTTGAAGGATTTCACCAAGGAAAGCTTAGCACTGTTCTAGAAAAGAGAGAGACTTGGCTGATGATGGAGACGGTAAAGGGAAGTGAAGTGGAATTCTAGAGCATTATAAAGGCGAGGGGGCCCGAGGGCCGAAGCGTCGGGAAGGCGAGAAATCCCTCGAGCCCCGGAACATTGATGTTGGATCTGACCGTCCGCTCCCCCACGTGGTTATCTCGAGCCGTCAACATCATGATGAGACGCCATCAATAATTACCCCTTATTAAATAAAGGGGCAATTATGGGGGCAGTTGAGGAGGCCCCGGATGACACGGGCCAGATACGACTCGCAAACATAGCATTCAGTCCGTACAGCTGGGCCAGCCCATAGAAGGACACTGCCATATGGGCCGAACGAGAGTAAGCCCATCAAAGGTGACCAAGGCTTACGAAGGAATAGGCCCAGATCTAGCAATTAGTAAATATCTTGTAAATATCTTGTAAATATCTATAAATAGGAGATGGAATGAAATGGAGGGGGATCTTTTTGGGTTGAGGTGTAAGAATTCTAGAGAGAGAAAGAGGAGAAGGAATTTCTTGCATCTTCAGGCACATCTCAAATAGAAAAGATATATTACCACACTGCTAATATGGGACTGGAAGAGTACATGTTAAAAGATTCAGTTAACAATAGCCCATGGTCGATCACATTTTAAGCGTAAATGTCGTGTTCATTGAGGATCATCACGAGAATATAATTAAATAGGTGTATATTTGTACAAATTAATTAGGTGTATATTTATACAAATTAATATGCATGTGTACAGAGTATAGGTACAGTATATGTATTCTTAATTACCGGGAAAAAAAAAAGTACTGTATATGTATAGCTGTATATACTCATTTATATAATTATGGGCTTGCATGTGTATATGCTTTGAGGAGTAGAGCTTTATATGCATGTGTATCTACAGATTTGTTGGAAGCCGTCAGTTTAGACCAGCGAATGAGTATGAGATGGTCATGAAGGAGTCAACCAAGAGCTAGCCCTACCACACCACTATCATATAAATATCAATTTTTGTTCGTACAATGAAGGCAAATGTTTGGCACTTTCATGAGCTTTATCATGTCAACTGCAAAGCCACTTCTTGTGGCCCTGCCTTTTGTATTTATAGTTCGGTATGCATTATACCATTTGGTGTGTGTGTATATATATATATACACATATATATATATATATATATATCAACTGTCATATATCATGGTACCATATTTTCTAAATCTTGATATATATATATATATATATATATATATATATTAAAGTCTCCCACCTTGTTTGTGTGATCGTTGCATAACAGATTGTTAACGTTTATGTGAACTATTATCCTTTTTGAAAGGTTAAATGGAGAGTCTTGACACATTTTCTAATGCAGTTTGATCATTTCGTTTTAAGCTATTCGGTCAAAATCAGTTTAAGGATCAATATTAACTTATTTTGCTTGTAATCATTATAAGTATTTAGTGATACCATGTCATTGATGATCGATAATCACGAATTCAATCTGTTTAAAATTAAAAATTAATGCGAGCCCTGCAGATTATGAAGTCTACACAATTTATATATATATATATATTTGGAAGGTCAATTTACTATAATTTACCAGTAGTTTTAATTTAACAACATTGAAAACGATAAAAATGTAGTAAAAGATGATTATATATAGAACAAAATCTTCGTTATCATATCATCAAACCAGAATTCTACATATGTTACAAAAGCTTCATTTTTATGTCTTGAGGGGTAATTAAATTTATATTGTTATATATATATATATATATATATATATAAATTAATTATTTGGCTTGACATCTGCAAGACTGATAATGTTGGTATGCCCAACCTTTTTCCTCAATTTCTTGGCCAAAACGGTGGCGTCAACTCCGACTCCAATCACCACCACTTTATTCTTCTCGTCACCTTCTAACCCGACGAAATCTACACCTGCAATTATTTACACGTGCCCAAATTAAAGGTCATCCAAAGTCTAAGCTAAAAATATTTTCAATGCCATTTAAGATCTCAAATCCGATGGAGTTTGGTATAGTAAATTAAATAATTGACAATCTAATATTATAGGTATTGAAGCATCGATCTTGCTTCTTGCAATACAATATTGCCCATTAAATTACATTTAATTATAGTATGGTTGAAAAGTTTAAGAATTAGATGAAAAAAAGTAAATTCATGCATGTGACACTCTATTCAATTCAAAAATGATATATATATATAGGCCAACCTCGTCCATCATCCAATTCATTGGAGTAAGGCCCACAACAGCCGCAGTTCAATCAATTAACTGATGGAAGGGCAATGATGACAATATATATATATATATATATAAGGTTTGCATACAAACCATCTGCTTGTGCGGCTATCTTGAGTGCCTTAGTCCTGCATTTGGGGCATTTCATCTGCACTTCCATCACTAGCTTTCGCTGCACAGCCACAAATAGAGAATCAGATCTATAATGTTTTTTTTTGGATGGTATCAGATCTATAATGTTGTGCATACATAAGACAGGCTACTAAAATTACTATCTATATATATGTGTGTAAATGCATATTTATATGATATATATATATATATATATATATATACCTTCATGTGATCTTTTTATCTTAGATGGATGAGCAACAAACGAGTCTTTTGCTATACAACAAATTAAAGCTTGAGAGAAAATCGAACCCACCACAAACTGAGTCTTTGCTAGAGCCTAGAGGTAGCTAGCTAGCTTGCTGAGAAAATAACAACTTTTTATGAGGAAAAGAAGAAGTTCGCCTCAATTATAAGGAAGGCAAGACATGCATGCATATATATATATATATATATAGAGAGAGAGAGAGAGAGAGAGAGAGAGAGAGAGACATAAGTTGGATCGAGCAGGAAGACTCCTGACTACGTCGTACTACGTCCATCATTAGTCCAACGTCGTCTTGACTGTTTCATAATGTACAAAGACGCGTTGATGACTTAATTATGTCCACACGTCTATATGTGTTTATTCCATGTGAAACCAACACGTCTATTCCGATGTTTAACAACCAACCCCTTGGCTCATTTTATATCTGGAAAAGGCAGAAAACTTTTCTATAGTATGTAAGTTTTGTACACAATACACCTCTTTTTTTTAAACTTGAACATCGTCAGTCCCTAATTTTAAAAAAATTTGGATTTCAATCCCTATATTTCAAAAAAGGTACAAATAACCACTTTTTGTTCATCCTATTTTGCCCCTCATAGCAATTGGACAAAATGATTATTTTACATGACTTGTATTTTTATTTATTAATTTATTCTACTGATTTGAGGGTATTATTGTCATTTTAAGTTTTTTTTTTTTTTTTTTTTTTTTTTTTTTTTTTTTTTTTTTTTGGGCATTATATCAATAGTAAAGGAGAATTTTTTTGCACTTGACCCATATCTCAATTTCAATTAATATATTTATAGCAATCCAAATATAAATGGCAATTCAAATATATATATATATAGATATATATATGTATTGCTATTTATAAAATATTGACAATGAAATCCTAGTATAACATCTCCTCGGAGGTGAAGAATTTCAGTTTCATATTGGAAATGTATGCGTATGTGAAGTACTTAACTATTAAGGAATCCAAAAATTGTTATTTCTAGCGGCTAGCATTTTATCTCTCCCCTTTAAGCAAATCGAAGATATAACAGTTTTTTTAACAAGTCTTTCAACTTTTGCCATCACCTAAATAGACACTTAATAAATTGCAGCTTAAATAAGCCGCGTCAGTTTTATTAGGGTTAAATGCCAAAAAAACTTTCCGGAATTATTGACTAATTAGCAACAAATTCTCTGAACTGCAAAAAAAATTCCTGAACTATAATTTTTGTTGCAGATGACTTTATCCGGCAACGGCACCGGTTGAAACTCGCCGTTAAAATGCCACGTGAGCACAATATATGACTTAATGACCATAATGCCCTTTAGAACTATGAAATGACTCTATTACCCCTTATTATGCCATTACACCAAAACACAGCCCAAACACTACCTTAACTTACTGTTGCAACCACTTTTCTCTTCTGTCTATATACATATATACGTATATATATTTACAAACACTATTCATCTTCTTCTTTGCGTCTTTCTGGTACACCGAAACAACTCTACTCATACACCCAGTGTGAATTACAGTTGGTGTGATGCTCTCCACCTCGTCACCACGGTCACCGCCACCACCCACTTCCGTCAACACCGTCACCATCGTCACAAACCCACCACCACCCACTTCCGTCACCACCGTTACCGCCACCTCAACTAATAGAACCACAATCCTCTCTATTTTGTTGAAAACTCAAATAATTCATATTAAACCACCGTAAAACAACCCCACAAACCCACTACGAACACGAACACTGGTGAACCCTCACCCAATTTCACAAAATCCCCCAATTGAAATGGTTTGAATCACCGCCGGACTCTTCTCTGCACCGTCGGTCCGTCACCGCCACTGCACCACCCGCCGATTCCACCGGCCGAGCTCGCCGCCGAGTCTCCACGGCCGAGCCCGTCCCCACTACCGTCCGTCCTCTCCACCGTCCAAGTTCATCTTCGCCGAAGCTTTCCACCTTACTCGCAAGCTCGCCGCGGAGTCTCCACGGCCGATCTCGTCGCCCACCGCTGGGCCATTCCTCCACCGTCTGCTCACTGCCATCGCGGCGGGCTGTTCGCTGCCGCCGCCGATCCGAACCAACCCGTCGCCCACCGCTGTGCCAATTCCGTCTCCTTCCCCGAGCTCAACCCCCGTAGTTGCCGCCACATCACCACCACTACTAGATCCATCTCCTCCTCCGAATTCAACACCCGTCGCCGCCGCCACAACATCACCATCACCTCCATACACGAATTTCCCCCAACAGATTTAAGATATATACCTTTTATATATATATATATATGTATGTGATTATATATATATATATATGAGCCGCCGCAAGTCAGCCCATCTCTCCACCACCGTACCCACTGTTCCTCGCCGGAATCTTCTCTCTGCCGTACTTTCCCTTTCTGGGTTTGCAGAGATATATATATGTATAATATTATATATATATATCAAGGCCCAAGTACCTCTGTTTGGCTACAAGTGTAGCACTGTCCTAGTTCAGGACCTGGACAAGAATCTAAACCAATTCCAAAAACTGGTTATGTGGCTAATAATAAGGGCGAAATTGTCTTTTGCCTTTTCCGGTGACCTGATGGGGTGAATTGCAACAAAATAATAGTCTAGTGGGGTTTCTTACAAAATCCCAATAGTTTAGGGGGAGTTTTTTGCTTTTAAACTATTATGTACCTACCAAATTCTAGAACTCTCCTTCCAAGTGTAGGTCTTAACCAACTCTTTTTCTTCGTACTCATGAGTTTCAATTTTACTTTTCCATTAAAACATGTAATTTTAATTTTACTCGTGTTGCGATAAAATTGAAATTGAAGAAAATATTTCAACCCTACTCACAAATATAGTCTTGCAGTCTCTACCTACATAATCAAGGAGTGTTCAATTTCCCTCACAAAGGTGTAGAGTGAGTTTCTTGCTAAGTTATCAAAATATATATATATATATATATATATATAGAATAAATAAAAATCTTTTCATGCGACAACTTATAGGGAATCAAACTGAGCACTTGGCTTCACCATTTGCAAATAAGAATCACTTTGTTGTGATCTCACACAACTTTCAGGTTTTGTTTACTTTAAGGCCACTAACAAATTGTTGTTCATTCAGGGGCCACATTGCATTGACTTGTTGCTCTTTCATCAATAGAACCCCAAACATTCAAGTGCAGTGCTAGAAGTTCTAACTCACAGGCGTACAACAATCACTTTGTCAAAATGGAGTTGTGATAAGTAGTCCGACTTTCGGAGTATTCCGACTATTTTATGTGAGTCGGGATGACAAGAGAACGAACCTACCAATTGCCATTTTTGTAGAAAATGTCAATTATGATGACAGATTCTACAACAATACACAGGTATACAAAACCATTAAAGGCAAGATGATTACAGATTCTTAGAACTAAAAACACCTAGAGCTTCTCTAATCAAAAGGTGGTCTTATATGGACCAAATAAAAACATCAAATTTCAACAAAAGGATAATGGATTCTACTGCCTGCATTGGGAAGCTCTGACCAAGTTACTGCTGCCAAATCCACAATTACCAAACTCCCAACATAGGCGAAACCTGTAGCCATTTTAACAGAATAGCATACTATGAATTTCAATCAGTGTTGCAAGCTCAATAAACAAGCATTTCAGCCACAACAAGAAGAATTTGTTCATATTTTTTACACAGTGACGAGTGTACGCGCACACATACACAATATGGAGTGAATGCAATTGAGGGACAACGCAGCTCAAGCAGTACTATAACTTACCATGGATCTCATTAGGGGCTTTATGTCGAGTCTTTAAGCTTAGCCAGTTCACTCAATGCATCTTTGAGGGGTTCCTTAACCTTGCTCTTCTTACCCTGGAAGAAATTCAGAATATAAGAAAGCAGCTTCAAAAAATTAAAGAAAAAAGAGAGGCCCCCGTTCCATTTTCCTCCCATGTTTTTGGACTTGTAAGAAATTGTGTTAGTTAAGGCACTCAAATATTACTTCTAGATGATGAATTGTTTGGTGAACGCGCGCTCACACAGACAGATGACTTTGTCATATTGTATTTCTTCAACTGTATCCCGAGGAACCTAGAAGGAAACAATAAATTGTTCCAATTTTTGTATATACTAGTTGTAAATTCTGCAATGATTTATTCCAAGATTTATTCTTTAAACTTCACATCAACACTTGCTAGATGTATGCATCCGTATTGGCATATTCCATGAACAAAAGGTTACCAGTATTGTGACTGTCAGTTATATTGCAATAACAAACAGTTCCCAGCATTTTTTTTCCATGTCATGTAAAATTTTGTTGAGTCTCAGGATCCTATCCTCTTTATTTTCTCAATCTCTCCCATTTTGTTAATCTTTTAGAAATGAAGAACGAGTGCTAAGCCTTAAGAATGAGGAAATATTGATATTTCATCTAATGAGAGAAATCTGTCCTAACAGTCATTGATTGGCAACTTTAATTATTTTGTAGACAATGACATCTACAGAAATATTGACATTTCATAGAGGGTAGATGATGAGAATCATTTGACCCTCACTTTCACTTGTACATTACAATTAGAGTTGTCAATAGCATATAAATGAATTGAACAGATTTAAGCAATTTTGTTCATCTTCTGCTTTCAAGGTATCATCGCTCACAGCATCAGGCATAAAATTCAGAGACATATTGACACTCACTTAAACAAGACCTAAATATAGTCAGTAACCAACTAAATCATTATCCTCAGCCAAAAATTAAATAAAATATAATAATTAATAGAAACTCGGGCATTCATACATACCTTCAAGGATGGGACCAAAGCAAACCCTTCATCCACAGATTCTGGACACGTGTTGGCAATCATGCACATCTGCAGTCATAAGTACAGAATTAAGAGATTGCAGGATTATTAAGAAATTAGTAAACTCAGGTTGAGATCGATACCTCGCCATCAGAGACACCATGTTTTTTGAGAGCACTAATATTTGAGTTAATGGTTCAACAGCAGATTGGACATTCATAGATATGCAATGTAACTCATGAGAAATGATGGGCGTTTTCCAAAGAAGATCACTATAACAATAACAACAACAATGGTAAAAATAATATAAAGGATACTCAAGCACTTGTCTAACAGACTGCGAATTTGTATAATGGCTAGTGCTCCTGGCATACTGAAGTCCCTTGTCAAATGATCTGAAGTCAAACTTGTTAGAGCTATTTACGACATATTTATATATTGCATTTTCAATCAAATATATCATGTGATCTTTCCTCAACAGAAACACATGGCTTTAAGTATGTTCCTCACAATGGGAGCTTGATTGTTGGATCTTCGGACAGCATGACCATCTGCTCTTGAATTCCTTGCAATATATGTGCCGCCTCACAGTCCATCAGGCATTTCGCGTTCTTTGGAAGTTCTGCCAATACCAACAGAGGTTACTGAAAATCAAAATCTAATCATACACACTAATCTTGCACCAAGCACATGCATGTGATAGAGAGTATTAACATAAATTATATAAACTACCACCACCGCAAGTGCTGAGACACAATGTGGCCAAGCACTATCATTCCATAATCACCACAGATCATAATCCCAGAAGCCAATGTACATGAAGCAGATGACTACAACACTCATCGTCAGACTGTTCAATAATTTTTGGATTGACTTGCTCTTGATCTCTTCTAATATTTCAACATAAAGAAACTGATTTGGAGAATCAAAATAAAAAGGAAAGATAAAGCTTAAACTTCTAATGATTACAATAGCAAGACCGTTATTTCTATGTAGAACCAAGGGGAGTAGGATGGGAAAAATACATGAGAATAATAAATTCAAATTTAAAATGTTAATATAATAATAATTATAATAAAAGGATAGAATCTTTTTTCTTTTTTTTTTTTTCTTTTTTTTTTTTGTTAATTATAATAAAAGGATAGAATCTTATTGGCAATTAAAAATACATGTTCTGATTTTTTAATATTCGCAGTTTTTTCATGCATTTCTATTATTCCAATCTTTAACGTATCTATCAAAAAATAATATAATCCAATCTCACTCACCGAAAAGAAGTTCTTAAAACATATCCAAAGAAAAATGAAAACACAAGACAGTCTCTAAGAATTGGTGTGCAAGACACAAGTTACTTATTAAAAAATCTTCCTGGCTATAAAAAAATAAAAAATAATTAAAAAAAAAAAAAGGAAGATGTGGTGCTAGGAGGTGCAAATAAAAATCTACAGATTCAAATACAAATCAACTTCTACGACGAAAAAAATGCCAGCTTTATGAACAACTCCAGGATACAAATATAACTAACAAGAAATTCACTATTTTATTCAACTTGTGTAGATAATAATGAAACAAATGTTCTCATAAATCAATATACTTGAAAAACATGAAACCCAAGAATATCATACGATAATAATGATACATCACTTGAAAATAGAGATCGTCAACAAACATTACATCACAATAAACACCTATATATGAGCAAACATGTTATCAAATAGATAAATAATTGCGAAAATAATATCACGTCTTGAAATTAAAAATGCGAAAAAAAGGAAAGAAAGAAAGAAGGAAGGAAGACATTTAACCAGGGAAATCACCAACCTTGCTCGACTCTGAGCTCCAACGGAGCAAGTTCTTTGGTTACAGGAGTGACAGGACTCTTACCGCCATTCACAATCTTGTCTCCTTTTCCTCCTTTGCCCCAATCACCTTGAAAATAGAAGATTTTGAGCACAGAGAGAGAATATATATATATATATAACCAAGGCATGTGGCCTAGCGGTATCTCCTCTCCTTTCGAAGCGGAAGGTGGAGGTTCAAGTTCCCCAAGAGCGTTGTGAGAGTTATTTGCCAGGGGAAAAAAAAAAAGCGTATATAGTTATATACCTAGCTATCAACAAGCATGAAATAGTATACTAGAAATATAACACAAACTATTTTTTATCACGAGGTAAACAATAAAGATTAAGAAAGTCAAACCTTTAGCATTCAGAAAATCAAACTTTCCACCAGTATTCGAGGGTATGTTGGTTTTTGCTTCTGGTGAATCCAAGATATGATTAGTAACATATCCAAAGGGAGACAGGTGAATATATCAAATAAATCAACTGAACAATACTGCACAGAATAAACATATTTGAACAATAAGGTATATCAGTTTCAACCTTCTGAATCAAACTTAACTTTCCTGCCCCTCTTTGATTTTGCTGAGCTATCATCCTTCCCTTTCAAGGATGCTGCACAAACAAGTTCAGAAAGAAAAGTTAGATGTTTAAAAAATGTATTATTGAATCACTTTCCCAACCATCCAATGAAACACTAACACGAGATTGGTTCTGATTGTATAATTGGTGTTTAATAAAGAAGAAGACATAAAAAATTTAGATGTCTCGCTTTTGCATCATACTTTTCATAAGCACGTCGTCTTTAATGATAATATGTGATGAACAATCATATAAGAAACTCCAATTTTATGATGTTTAGGAGCTTCAATAAACATAAGCCAAAATATTTGCAAATGGTCTATATTGAGGCTATTACTTGAACTAAGCCAAGGGCCAAGGCAAAACCTTTTTACCAATGACAAAGCCTAAATGCATACAAGCCTTCATATATCAAAAGAAGCTTTAGATACATTAATGATATTAAATGTGTGCAACAAAAGAAAAGCCTCAAGACTTCAGTCACTACCTTGAAGGTCATCAGTAGGTCATAGTGCGATGGACCATTCCAGGCACCAGATTTTAAGGCCATGAATCTCGGACCAGAGATCACTTCTCATAAAGGCTGGCCCAAGAAGAGTTTTGTTAGGAAGGCGTGACCGACGGATTTGACAACTTTAGCTTACGCAATTTTTGTTACAATGTTACCAACCGGAGAGAAAAAAAAAATGTTACCAATTCCATCGCAGTTATAGACAGTGGCGAAGCTATGTTGAGCCCAGTGGGGCAGCTGCCCCAACTCAATTATTTTGTTATCGTAAATTCGTAACTACTCAATTTATCACTTTATTCTGAATAAACTAAATAATATTTGATTAAGTGCATTCGATAACGCAATTTAGTACCACGTATAAAATAAAAAAATTCCACTTCAAATTTTCACTGAATGAGACCTCGTTTATTCTTAAGAACTAAACACTACAAATTCAAACCAGTTTAAAGAAAATTTTAAATTTATAATATATCATCATTATTATCATCATCATCATCATCTTTGGATTTATCCCATAGAGATGGGGTCAGCCTCGTGAATTCTATTTTTCCATTCTTTCCAAAAATTATACAGCATGTCCTCCCTTAATTTTAGATTTTTAAAGTCATTTTTAATTACTTCCTCCCACATGAGTTTTGGTCGGCCTATTTGTTTTATAGTTAGCATTTTAAATTTAAAAGTTTAAAAGTGTTATCGTGTGTATGCATATATAAGTTGAGCTTAATTTCACAAATGCCCCTATTCAATCAAAAGTATAATACATTAAGGCTCCATTTTTTTGGATGTAAAATATTTTCCTCAAAAAATATAAGTTGAGGTTGAGGTTGAGTCCATCAGGACGTGTAAAATTAATGGGTAATTTATTTTTGTTAGGTTTTAAATTTTTTATTTATTTTTTTCTTACGGCACGCAAAGACCATAAAATAAAAAAATATTTTATATCCAAACAAAAAGAGCCTAAGATATTGTAGACCAGCAGAGGTTTGAATATAATACCCCCAATATCTATTTTGACTTTTTAAAGGGTTTCTTTATAAGGTAAATATTATACGATCCAGAGTAAATGAAGCTTGAACAAAACCACAAGAAAATGCCGGGAAAATCAGGGGATTTACCTGGAGATTTGAGAGAAGGTTTTCCTCCCTTGAACCCATTTCCTCCTTTCTCCGCCATTTACAACTGCTGAAAAAATCAAGATTCCAGTTTGATTCAGTGTTACGAAAACCCATCCAACCAGAACCGCAATCTCATATAACACATGCATACTTGGTACTTGTGTCTGTGTGAGTATATATATGCCTCTTTTCTACTTCTGTGTTAGCCCTTCCAGTGATTATTAACAATAAAAATGAAAAGGAAAAATAAAATAAAAATAAACACGAAATATATATATATATATATATAATAAAGAAGAAAGAGACGAGGAAGAAGAGTAGAAACCTGAACAGAATAGAGGGGGGTGTAACAGGCGAGGAGTCCAGCAGCAGTTTCGATGATAAAAATGGTGAATGAGAGAGAGGAGAAGGGGTTTATGACAGTCGTAAAAACCCTTCCTCTGAAAATTTTCTGGGGAACCAAACGCTTCCCACTCGGCACCCTGGCGTTTCACAGTAACAGTCGCTTTGTTATTGTAAAATGGTTACAATGACAAATATAGCCCTATAATGCCGGGAGACCCCAATTTCAAGCCGGGGTGTCTTTATGTCTTTTCACAAAAGAGTAGGTACACTGTCCCACCAGCACCTCATCAGTGGCATTTTGTTCAGTACCAATCGAGTTTAAAAAAGCATGACGGCAAAAAATAATAATAAAAAAAAAATAAATATAAATCCTAAAAATTACTAAAATAACATAAGGGTGATTGTCAACCGTTTATTTAAAAAACTTAAACTATAAGATCATTTTAGATCATTTATTCTAAAATTAGACCACCATCTACTTATTTAAAAAGGCTTTAACTTACCTTAATTTTTAACTATTAACATGATGTGATGTTTGCTCTGGTATCATCTTAAACATTATTTAGGGGTAGATATTTTATTTTTGATGTTTTGTTTTAATTTAAAATAAAATAAATATTTTGAATAATAATTGAAAGCACGTTTGATAATATACATTTGCTGTAAAATTTTTATAAATAAAAAATAAAAGCATGTTTGGTAAAAAAATGAGTTTTTTTTTTTAAAAAAAAATTACCATTTCTCGCTACAGTACCATATGTTACAGTACATAAACGTATAAAAACACCAAATTTATTCATTGTTACAATACCCGACAAAAACAAAAACATTAAAAGCAAAATGTGTACCAAACATGCCCTAAACTTTAAATGTTTAAGTTACAAGAAATGGTATTACTTTAATATTTAAGTCCTTCAACATTGATGATAGAGTCTTATAAAATAATTCTAAGAAAAAATTAGCCATACAATTAAAATCTTGGAGAAGTGCTTCATAAGCCAAAAATAAAAAAGTCTAAAAATTAATAAAACTAAAACATAACATAAGAAATGTAAATTTTAATTAAGAATGTTTTCTTACAAATTCTCATAAGGACAAAAGTGAATATGAATGTGTTTTTTTGCCCAAAAAAAAAAAAAAAAAAAATCTAAATTTAATAAAATAGCATAAAACAATCACTACTTTTAAAAGAATAAATAAATAAAAACAAGGCATTCCATATAACTAAAATGCAAGAATAATAAGAGAGATTAAACGAATGGCTAAAAAAAGATAGAACTAACAGTTAGAGTGTGAAGAAAAAATAAAAAGATTCACCTATTAGTGATAAAACAAGAGGAAACAGATTTATGTGTTATGCTCATATATAATGTAGAAGATTTGCATAGAATACGAGATACAAAAAGAGGAACAAGCATGATGCTTGAAATTGTTTCCAAAAGCAATACGTTGAAAAGGTTGTCACTTGTCAACCATGTTATTTATTTATTTATTTATTTTTATTTTTCATTATAGCTTGCGGAGGACGTGAGATCACTCAATTTCATTCAGAACGTGTATTTATGCAATCCTATCTATATTCATTTCTTTTTAGCATTATTAGATTGTGCATCCCCAAAAAGGAAATCAGTAATAATTCCAAAATTAGTTACTCTGTCAATGACAATTTTAAAAGTATCATGATGAATCATAAACATGGAGCTTTTCACATGATAGATTGGGTATCAAGTGAAAGTTGTTCTTTCAAAAAAGTAAACCTATAATTGTAATAACCTACTCATCAGATCACCCCAAATAACAAATAATCAATATGATGGATTCATATATACAATTGCCCTTTGGGCCTAGGACAAACAAAGTTCACATTTGCTTGGTTAACCTCATCTTCACCTGTGACTGGTTGTTGCAGCAAGTACAGGTAAGCCCTGATCAGCCCTTCTCACTCACTTTAATTGCAAAATAGAAGCAATTATTCAACCCTGCAGAAGATGCATTTTCCTCTCTCTCTCTCTCTCAACAATCTAACAGAAGCAAACAACACAAGATAAGAGTTTCTCAAACTAAAAGCCTCACATGTTCAAAAAGTTCTAGTCATCACCAATCGAAACATGAAAATCAACATCTCTTTCCCGCGTCTAATTGGACCTGAGGGCTTTCTTTGTAAACCTTTACACGCACAACCGCAAGCTTTGCCTACAGAAGGAACAAACCAATACTGCTCGAGAAGTATTATATACTTCTTCATGGGTTCAAAATCAGGTATCATCAACTTGAGAATGAAACACAAAACTTGGGAATGTGGTGGTGATGTCTCTGCCCATGGAAAATCAAACAGATTTAGTAGCTGATGGGGCATATGATTTGAAGAATCATCATGATCAACAGAAAACAAATAAATTTATAGCATAACTAAACTTCTGAATATACTAATTTATAGCTTTATAATGGCTGGCTATTAAAATCTATAACATCTCCATAACAACAAAATCTAATCTACTTCGAAAACAGCACTTCAATTGCTCTTGGAAACAAAGTAAAACTAATCAAAGAATGACATCTAAAGAGCTCCATCTTTTCCTGGTGTATGCAGTCTATGTATTTAAACCAATACAATGACACAACTAATCAGAAATGTGTCCGTGAGTGAAAGCACTAAGTTGCTAGAAATCAAGCCAAACTCCATCCACTCATTATACTATCTATGCCATTCAACAGCAGAGGCATTATATTTGTAGAAAGATGGTGGACAACTACCAAAAGAGTAAACTGAGTGCTTTACTCATCAATCCAACGTTGGATGGTGGCTGATTGGTAACAGATCTAAAATTACTTGTTCTATAGGGCTATCTGCCCATGGCGACCAAATGAAAACAATAAATCTGCCTCTTAAACATACACTAGATCCAGGTACAATCTAATCTCTAGTACATGCAATTTGGGCAATCATTGTAGGTGCAGCTAAAACTTGAACTAATCAAATGAATGTTTGTAAATGGGTCATATAATAGTAAAAGTTCATACACTCTTTGATTTCAAATGCTGACTAACATTTGGCAGAAATTCACAGAATAAAATTTGCGATCAACAAAATTCATATTTAAATTTTACCAGACACAGAAAGTGATACTACATAAGAACTTACTTGAGGTATTGAAGGGTCATATTCTTCAAAAGAGAAGGATGACGCAAAACAAGGCTCCGCCACTCTTCTTTGTCAATCTTCCCATCATGTTTGGTGTCAGCTTCCTCAAACGTCTAAAATAAAACAAATATATTGACATATCTACTACGATTACTGCATGAAAAATGTGTTCAAATGCCCAAAAATCAATATCTCACGCAGACATCAGAAGGTGTTGTGCTTGTGCATCAGCAAAGTTATCAATTTGATGAATATTATATATGGGCACAACTAATCACATATTTGCATTAAATTGCCAAGCTTAACAATGATATGTAACATGAAATTAGTTATGCATATACAGTGTTAAAATAAATCTAAATATATACAAATACATGTAAATATACTAAATATATAGCAAATTTGGAAAGTGTAATGTTGTCATTTCACAAGACCTTACCCTTTCCCTCTCCCTTTCTGCAGGGATAGGTTGTATGTATGGATGAGGGGTGGCTGATCCCTCTCCCCATCCTTTCCTCTGTCCCCCATATGAAACGATGGAAGCATCCTCCCTCTTTCTCCTTTCCCTCCCCACTTCCCTCATCTTTTACACCCTACCAACATCGAATTAACCAGCAATTCTTAATTGTTGTTAATAAATCATTCATACAATCATTGAATTGGGACCAAAACTCTTCTTAAATGTTCTTCGGCACCGGCAAGAGAATTCTGCAACTTTTTTTTTTTCCTCTTAAATTTTGCCTGCCTTCTTGCAAACTTACTCCACAGCTGAATAACTTCCCTAGGAGAATCATCGGTGCCACGTTTGATGTGAAAAGTGATGTTTATGGTGAGCAGCAAATAGAAAACAACCTTTTTCCAATTGTGATGTTTAATACCCTTTTTTTCTTTTTTTCTTTTTTTTTTTTTTTGGGGTATGCAAGACACCCACAGTCCACACAACCATTTTTGTCCCATCAAAGATCCTTTTTATTTTTATTTTTTATAAGTTTGTCCCATAGAAGACTTGAACCCTCAACCTTCCATTTGGAAGGAGGAGATACCATCTGGGCTAAGCCCTTGGTAATACAATTTCTTTTTAAGATCTTATCAGCAGGAATCCACAAGAGTCAGTCAGCTAACAGACTACCATCTTCCCCAAAACAATCTCACAGGGCCATTCACAAAGCACCACATGATTTGACCTGGAAAATCTATGGGACAAATTGTCTTAAGGTCTTGGACAAAACTCTTCTTGCCTTTTCATTTCAGCATAAATTCTCACTATTACTACTGAAACAATATCAAACTAAAACCTTCCAAGTTTCCAAACAATAAGCACTTGGAATTATTAATGCAAAAATAATGAACTAGGAAATACTCATATACAGAAAATAAAATCGAATGATGCAAGGTAGATAAGATGAGATACTTGGCAATGAGTGAAGGAATAAGTTATTATCATTTTAAGCAGGTTGAACTACAATGTGCATTTCCACGTGTTTTGCAAGATTTGTTTGATCAGTTATAAAAGTTATAGTAACAGGTGGAAGAATAATATATTATCACCCTTAAACTAACTTAAAAAAAAAGGGGGGGGGGGGGGGGGGGGGGAACAAACGTAACATGAAACCTAAATTAGACATAAAAGGAAAAAAGAAAGAAAGAAGGCAAAGCGACTGCAACCAAGATGAGTAGCATCAATATCACAAGGACCTTGACATATTAAAATAACAAATCAAATTAAGGGAGTACCTTGTCGATGATACTTTCTATTACATCGTCCGAAAGATTCATACCAGATTCAGCAAGTGTAGCCACTACCATTTGCTTTACCTGTACATGATACAGTGATTAATCATACAACTCCAAAACAGGCTTGAAGAATAGAATGTCAAGAGATATAAAATACATGAGAAAAAAAAAAAAAAAAAAAAAAAAAAAAAAGAAAAAAAAAGAGAGAATTTCTTAGCTTCGACAAAAAAAAAAAAAGGGAATTTCTTAGCTCATGTAGACTGATCGTTGAATTATGAAAAGACACACAAATTTGATCATTAATCATACAGCTCCAAAACAGGCTTGAAGAATACAACATCAAGAGATATAAAATACATGGTAAATAAAAGATAATTTATTAACTCATCTAGACTGATCATTGAATTTAAAAATAATAATAAAAAAAAGATATAAAAATTTTACTAACTGGATAGTACAAATAGAAAAACTTAAGGCAAAAAGAGCTCTCAATATATGAAAATTAGGCAACTTAACCACCAAAATAAATTATGGGGAAAATGATTTTAAAAAAAAAAATGATATATAAATTTTACTAACTGGATAAGTACAAATAGAAAAACTTAAGGCAAAAAGAGCTCTCAATATATGAAAATTAGGCAACTTAATCACCAAAATAAATTATTGGGAAAATATAGCCCAACCAAAATTTAGACCCTAAATACTTAATAAAACTTTAAAGAAAAAGAAAAATCTAGAAGAAGCACATTATCCAGTGTATGTCCCACCTACACGAGATGGTAGGAAAGGGGAGATTAGAGACAAACCTAACCTTTTGCATTATTTTGTACAAATGTTCTACTCTGGAACTCGAACTGCTAGTTTGAGCTTTTAGTATTGCACCAAGCAATAATCCATAAAACCAAAAATACCTATATCTTCCAAATCATATTATTCGATATCCTACTTAGTCGGTAATAACTAAATATACAATCAAAGTTCCCATTTGTCAAATGCTGCAACATTCAACAAAAGCTACTGCCTGTCCTGTGGCCAGGACAAATACTAATAATTTGCATCTGGATTCCACTCTGGATTCCAAACCTTATTCAAAAATATCAATTAATTTGTTTTATCAACGAATGAAATTAAAAGGAAAAATAAAAAAGAAAAATACCTCTTGTCTCTCTATGAATCCTTGTTGCTTAAGATCATACAGTTGGAATGAAACTGCAAGAGAGAAAAGTCCATCAATCCCAGAATAAATCAATATCAGCATCACTATGCAATCACCATGAAAGCAGAGAGGAACCGATACTAAAAAAAAGAGATCTTAAACTCAAAATAATATCTACTAAAGATATGGTAGGAAGTAGCCTGTCTTGAATTAGGATCCAAATCCAGCTTGGACCCAACCCAGTAGTTTGGATTCGGTAGTAAGACTTTAATTTGATAACCCAAATATGAGATGAATCCATTAAACAATTAAAATGAAGGATCAGCTGAAAATTAGGTTTCAATTGACCCATAGTCCAATCCAACGTGAAAATACAATACTTCTATACCTAGTATATATATACATACATATTCTATGTATTTAAGAAAACATTCTTAGGGATTCCATTTCAAATCTTGTGTGGGATTGTAGATGATTCTTTCCCTATCTCAAATCTTCAATGCTCTGGCTCTTCGACCAACCGAATCTTGAGATAGAATTCTTGTCAATGGTCTGCTTGTGCCTTGTATTATCATCCCAAAACCTTAAGTTAAGACTTTCTCATCTTCCCACTCTTTCTATATCTCTCTAAATACATGTGTTTGTGTGTTTTTCTGATCTCAAAGAATTTTAAATTCATGCCTTTAAAAACTCTTTTATTTAAAATTTTATTGACAAGTATTTATAAGAACCAATTTGTTCACAACTAAACTAAAGGTACCATGATTACCTTCAGTTCTGTTCTAAGTGTGTGTGTGTGTTTATCTTTTCCTCTTTGCATGTATCAGTCTGAAAAGATTCAGTTAGATCTAGACTTTGGTCATGCATTTGCAGAGATTTTAGTGAAAAGATCTCGGATTGGAGATATGATAGCTATTTGAAAAGATTCAGTTAAACCTAGGCTTTGGCATTAGATTTTGTGGAAACGTTATAATTAAGATCTCAGATTAAGTTGGACTTTACAATTGGAGATACCATAGCTTAATCGGCTATTTTTCTAGCATATATGATCAGGATTGACCCTAAGCTGGTCCGAATCTGATCAGTTAGCAAGCTAGCAGGTAGAAGCCCAAACTCGCTAATCTCGTGTCAATATTTTCCATGCACAATGTCATAAATAATAGCGCAAAGTTCCATGTTAAAGAATTAGCAAATTCAAAATCTCCTTCCCTCTGTAGGAAAAGGAAAAAAGAGAAACGAGAGAGAGAGAGAGAGAAACAAGAACAAGGCAGAAGCTTACAATCAATCTTATCATCAACTGGTGCATTGGGGTGAAAGACGGAAAGGGCCCGTGCAAACTCATCAAAATCCAATATCCCATTGTGTTTTGTATCAAACAAGTCAAACACCTAAAAAAATTGAAGATGCTCATTAACAGAATGAAAGCTTTCTTGAAACTTTTACCAAAGAACTAAGTTAAAAAAGACAACTAATGCGTGAATGTAACTGTCAATCAAGCAAAATACAACCATCCAATTAACAATTATAAGCTGCAGCACAAGTTTGCAAAGCACATTAAAGCTCTCAGATTTGGGGTTTCAATTAAGTCACAGTTTAAAGTCTTCATAAGGAGGTAAACAAGATTCAAACATACAGCAGAAACTCCATTAGTAACGTGTAAACAAACTATAGGTTCGGCAAGTGGCTTCATCAGTATATGGGTACTGAAGCTAGACATTAATAAGCTAATCAACTGTAATGTGTGACAGATAGAAAAAGTACCCGGTCTGCAAACAAGCTCTCCTTTTTGTTTGTCTTGAATAATGCTAGTTGAAATTCTTCCTGAAATATTATAGTTAGCAGACAATAAATTAAAAGAAAAAAGAAATAAAAGTAAGGAAGGTCAATTTCCGAAAGCATAAAAGTAAGGTAGGTCAGAAGTGAATTGCAACAAGCATTACGAGAAAGGAACTTCAAAAGGAAATCCTTGCATCCGTATAAAGAGGGAAAAAGGAAAGAGCTATTACCACCCCAAAGAGAGAACATTATCATAGTCTAAAGCATGAATAAATGGCCTAAACTATGACATCACTGACCTTATTGATAAGCCCATCATCAATCACAGCACTGCTGATTTTCTTGAAAAGTTCATACAACGCTTCTATTTCACTCACACTAACTGCATTTGACGATAAAGCAACACAAAAACTTAATTAAGGAAACCATAAATATGTGATTAATAAGCAAACGCTGGATATCAGAAAATCCGCCTGAGCAGGGACCAAACAACTAATCAAGGTCATCAGTCATATGTTTTCCCTACCCTATAATGACTCCCAAATATTGAATTGATTGGTACCAGTTTACAACGATGGTATAAATCAATTATGGTTGAAACAAATTTCATGTCCGATCTAATATGTAAATGTTACATAGCTTATTAAAAATACAATTATCTGAGTGGTCAATTTTATACGCTAGCAGTAAATTGCTATCTTCTCTCAAAAGCTGCCCGTCTATTAATGTCTCAAATCCAAGCCCCTGATCTTTTCGTCATAACATATGGAAGACATATTTTACCTTCTTTCACTATTTCAACTTTTCCATCACAAAATGCTTGATTGAAGAAGATAATTTTGGGAATTATGAAACAAGGTTGTTATGTAAAAGATACCCCCAGTAGCCTATACATAATAACCCCTTCCATGATGGAACCAGGATTTAACTAAGATAATAGTAAATGAAAATAAAATTTGCATGCAGCCAAAAAAAAACAGAGCATTTCCAATCCCATCCTTTTTTTTTTTTTGGATAAGTCCAATCCCATCCCTATTCCTTCTCCACATCTAATATATTTAATGAGAACAAGGATCAAATTTCCACTTTCTTGCCTAAATTTGCTCGAATTGCAATTGTCATTCTTGTTAGGAAAATGGAATCTAGCATATAAACTTTTCAATTTTTTTCCTAATTTCTATGCTACAAATTTTTATTTTTACTATAATAATAGTGCTAACAGACTAACAGCACACCATAATTCCTCTCCGAAAAAACCCTCAAATTATTCCCCTTGCTTCCTATTCTCTCAAATGACTATTAAAATCGTTCAAAATATCAAATTCTGACATGTTATATGCAAGGTATGGGCAAAAAATTGGCTTTAGAATAAATCAAATGAAAAAGGCATTCTTTTATTATTTATTAATAAGTAAAATTCATTAAAGAGAGCTCAAGAGAGGAGTGCATCTGAAAACAACTGCACAAAAGCCCAAAAAAAACAACTATACACTCAGGCTATCCACAAAAACAACAAATTCCCCCATAGATTTACACAATTGAACTAATAATATAGAAGTTAAGCGCCCATATAGGAGCATCCACTCCATCGAAGCATCTCATATTTCTCTCCCGCCATATGCCCATGATAAAAAATAAAAATAAATAAAAAGGCACCGTTGTTAACAAAAAAAAAATTTTTGATAAAGTAAATCAAATATATAAAAACCGCTCAAAAGGGGAGCGGATCCCAAACATACAAAAAGGCCAAACAAAAAACAACTCAAGCCTTCAAAGAGGCTAAAAAAAGAACAATCTCCTCAATAGATCTATAATCTCTCCCCGAAACCGAACAAAAAAGAGTAGAAATAATGGAGAACTTAAGCATAGCAATAGGCTTCTCCTTTCCGTCAAAATATCTTCTATTCCTCTCAAGCCAAATGCACCACCAAATACAGAGAGGCGTAGCCCTCCAAGCATCCCGAATGAGAGCCCCAGCCGAGAAACCTCTCCAAGCCTCAATCAATCCTCTAGAGGAACAAGGCATAACCCAAGGAACCCCAAACAAACCAAGCATCAAATCAGCCATGTTGCAATGTAACAAAAGGTGATTAACTATCTCCTCATCGCAAAGGCGCAAGTAACAACGATTGACCACTACCTGATTCCTCCTCCTCAAATTATCCTGGGTTAAAATCCTCCCCAAGACAGAAGTCCAACCAAAGAAGGCCACCTTAAGGGGAGCCTTAGAGCGCCAAATAGATCTCCAAGGGAAAGGACCACCATCCCCAACCGTAAGGCACCTAAAAAAAGGACCTCACCTCAAACCGACCTTGAGAATTAGGATTCCAAAGCCAACAATCAGACTCCCCATGAGAAATCACCTAACAATACAGTAACTCCAAAAAACAACTGACCTCCTCAATCTCCCAATCCTGAAAGTACCTCCTAAACTGAACATCCCAAGATAGTCTTCCGTTATCAAGATGATAACAGTCAACCACCAAGGCCTGCCTAACAGAAGCAATCCTGAAGAGCCGTGGGAAAGAAAGAGCCAAGGGAATCTCCCCACACCAAGTATCCTCCCAAAATCGGATCCTCCTACCATCCCTGATCTGAAAACGAATATGTTTGCAAAAATCATCCCACCCCTTCCGAATGACAGTCCAAACTCCCACTCCCCTAGGACCACGCACCTCAAGAGAGCTCCACCCACCACTGCTCTCCCCAAATTTGCTCGCAATAACTCTCCCCCAGAGCCACTGCCTCTCAACCCCAAACCTCCAAATCCATTTCCCAAGGAGAGCCTTATTGAAGGCCAACAACCTTCTAATACCTAAGCCACCACTCCGAATTGGGCAACACACTTGCTCCCATAGAACCAGATGACACTTGACCCCCTACCAAGAAAATTGCACTTGCAATCTCTCAATTCTCTCAACCACAGAGGAAGGAATCTGAAAGAGCGAGATGAAAAATGCATTCGTTTTGGAAACAAATTTCTATGATTTACTGAGAAGAAAAGTGAGATAACTCTCCTCCAGAGCCACTGCCTCTCAACCCCAAACCTCCAAAGCCATTTCCCAAGGAGAGCCTTATTGAAGGCCAACAACCTTCTAATACCTAAGCCGCCACTCCGAATTGGGCAACACACTTGCTCCCATAGAACCAGATGATACTTGAACTCCTCATCGCCCCCCCCCCCCCAAAAGAAAATTGCACTGCAATCTCTCAATTCTCTCAATCACAGAGGAAGGAATCTGAAAGAGCGAGATGAAAAATGCATTCGTTTTGGAAACAAATTTCTATGATTTACTGAGAAGAAAAGTGAGATCTTATTGCAAGTTTTAATGTAAGGTGACGCCTAAGGCAATCAAAGCCTCAAAGCTTGAGCTTGCAGAATTATTTATGAAGCCAATTTGGAATATAAATGACTGAAATTGACTAACGCACTCAAGTTGGAGAGACATTTACCAACTTGAGAATGGATAAAATCAATGCTTTGCAGTACTTGGCTCACTTGCGTTCTCAGTTGACATCACCAAAATTAGGGAGGGTCAAAAAATTCAGAAACCTCCATGACAGTGTTATTAAAGGCTCAAGGCTCACCAAGGCACTAGAGGTCCTTTAAAGCCTAGGCGCGAGGCATGCCTGAGTGAAATGAGGCACAATTGAAATTTTAAACTACCATAAAAGCATTCATATCTCATAAGTCGTATCAATATTCTAAAAATTAATATACTTATCAAACAATACATATATATTCTAAAAATTAATATCAAATATAAAAAAGTAAATCCATCAACTATATAAGCATTCAAGAACCATAAAACAGAGCACAAATTTGTTTTCTTGAAAGGCAAAATATAATTTGTTTTTTTTGAATGGAAAAATAGACCACAAAAAGAAATAAATCTATTAACAACAACAACAAAAAAATAAAAAAAATAAAAAAAAAAAATATATACACCCGTTAACAAGAAAAGGAAAAAATAGAGCCCCCAAAAAAAAAGACGTAGAGACAAAAGAAGTAGATGAAGAGAAAGAAGTAGATGAGAAGAAAGAGAAAGTGTAAAGAAAAAGGAGAAAAAACAGAGCCCCAAAAAAAGAAAAAGACAGAGAGAGAAGAGAACTAGACAAAGACAGAGAAGTAAGCAAAGATGAAAGGGGAGAGAAGTAGAGGAGAAGAGAGAGAAGAAGAAGAAAGAACTGACATGGCTTCATCATTTGTCTCTGCAACTAGGGCTTCGTCGTTGGTCTCACAGTCTCAATCTTTCTATGTTCGGTTGACACTTTGACTCTTGGGCTTTCTTATTTGTTTACTCTTTTGAACAAAAGTTCCTTCTCTCATAAGCTTAGGCTTTCTTATTAGTTTATTAAGTTGCCGAAATTACCCTTTTTGGCTTAAGAAATAGACTAATCATTTTTTTTTAAAGAAAAAACAGTGAGGTACTGACAAATAGAACGAGGTGCAACCGAGGCGCGCGCCTAGTAAACATCAGTGAGCCTGGGATGACAACAGGCGCTAGACTTGCGCCTCGAGCCTAGGCGTACCTTTAACAACACTGATCCATGAGCATTATGAAATCTACCTCTATAAAACTTAATCCTTCTAGGCATACAATATTTTATTTTAATTCAAATTTTCCAACATGCAACTTCATTATTGAGTGAATGAGCCAAAAAGTATTTAAAAATATATAAAATTAAAAGGAAAGTGTAAAGGAAAATAGACAAATTAAAAATTAAAACAAAAGGCAGAATTTTCAAATAACACTGTAAAAAGAGAATAATAGCAGCAAATGAATGTCAGGCATTGTACTACCTTAATCAATACTTCCATAATATTTAACAAGGATAGGTGACATACATACTGTCTCCCTTGCAAGAGCTTCTGGATTTTCCAGCCCCGTAGGTTGCTTATATAAATCGGTATCACAGCAATTCAGGATAACAGAAAGCAAATGCTTTATTCCGTCTATGCACTGCAACATGATCTGTTCCAGATATCAGAACACTCCATACCTACACACCAAAAGAAATCAAATACTCAACATCCCACTTGAGAGAAACCCCTAAAACTAGTGAATGACTGAAAAGAAGGTTCGCTTTCTGCTTTTGCTAAGCAAACCCTACATGCAAGTGGAAAAAGAAACTGCAGAGTGCAGTTAAAAAAAACAAAGAATCATATATGGATTGCAATGAAGCAGTTCAAAGTTCATGCTTGCCCAACCCACAAGAAGCAACACAGTTAAAGGTAAAAAGGAATAAAAAGAATGTGCCAAAACAATAAAAGTAGGTCCATGTAAGTCAATCCAGAGAATGCAGACACATTATCATTGTGTTAAATCTGATATTGCAAGATCCATATGAAGTATAAGACAGAGCTAACCCAACATAATCTCTAAAGATGTGGACAAAATCAACATAATGCACCCATATTATGTTAAAATCAGGTTAAAAAATAAATAAATAAGGTTAATTATGTTAAAAGTGGCAACAGTTGCTAATAGACCAAATATTGACATTGCTCAACCAAGGATGAGCCACATGTGCCATTAAGCTAAAGCTACATGCTTAAGCAATTAAGAACTAAAGGCTCGTTCGTGTCGCTAGGTTTGAAGCACATGACTTTTAAATTGAAACTATCATGTCTTCACGATGCATGCCTCATGAACTATCTGAAACTATGGATTTATGAACCCTCCGGTCCCCTCTAATTTTACTTTAAAAGAAAGAAGATTTGGCTGAAACTAGTAACCAAATATTAAATGCTTTCCTATATGGCTGTGAGAGAAAAGGAAACAAAAAAAAGTTAAACCTTAACTTTGATTGATCCCGTCACCAATCTCAATAGTACTTTACATCTGAAGTTGAATGTCAGATTTTTCTCGCATATACGTGATGCATCTTTTCTTATACCTCTATTAAATTTTTTATGCAATTATTTTATTCAATCACGAAACAGCAAGAATGCAGTTTTTTGCGTTCATCTTCCTTCACTAACTGAAGAGCATATACACAATGAGATATCCTAATAACTTTTTCCTGGACTTAGCTCCTATACAACCGATAGAACAGCCAATGTATCAACAATCAACATGTATATCACTGTATAGGAAAATGTCTTCGCACCAAAATAAAGAAAGAAATAGAAAAGCAAAAAGAGTAGAGAACACAGCACATGGTTTTATACCAGGGCATGACACACAATGATTGGGAAAGGTTGGTGAATAATTATGGTGGTAAAAAGACGTAGACAACGGTTGGCAACAGGTAGGCTATTAGTAACAATTTTGAGCCAACAAAAAAATAAAGAAAAAATAAAACCGTGGATATATCAAACCCCCATATTGCACATGCATGGGTGAAAAATATGTGACCCGTAGAAAAACCAACATTCATTTTGACATGCAAATTCGGCATGACTCAAAATCCACCATGCACATCTAGTTGCCAAGACAACATAAAAGTATAAAAGAAGCACCAGAATCTTGCGACTACACTACACCCCCCCACACCAAGTTATCTTTCTTTCCATCTTCTTCACTAGAAAACACGAGATAAATTTGATATAGTATTTTCTTGTACCATCAATATATTTCAATATAACGCATGCATACAAAAATGAGTTGGAATATATTGTTGTTGTTATTATTATTGTTATTATTAATCATTAAATACTAACTATTATACTTTTAAAAGTTTAGACCGATTATTTATGAGTTGAATTTATAACAAAACACAAAATATTCAGAAAATAGAAACATACGTAAACAGTTATATATTAAACGAAAAATTTAGTAAATATCAATTTTAACAAAAGTTATAATTATTACTTCTAATTTGATACCGATATAAATAAAAGATTGAAGTTTTTTGCTTACAGATTTGATTACCATATATTTTCTTTTCAAGAAGAAATCATTTTTTTTACTATTTCCATTTCTTTAAAAGAGGATTAAAAATCCCCTCCGCTATTAACCAACTTTCCCACCAGGTCACCAACACCAGTTGGTCCCCAATCAAACCAAAAATGGTATCAATCTAAAGATACAGGTAATATATGCATATGAGTATCTGTATGTTTATATATATTTATATATAAACTGTTTGAGTGAGAGAGAGACGGGAGTTGATTCATTTAATTGAACTTGACTCACTTCCCCAGCTCACCTTTTGTTATAGTTGTAGACATCTTCATTCATCAATTTTCTTTGATTTCCTCTCTCTCTCTCTCTCTCTCTCTCTCTCTCTCTCTCTCTCTCTTTCTCACTCATACACATACAAATACTGAAACTAATTGTTGAGGCATTAATTTAATTCACGCTACAAACACTAAGATTTCACACTCCATTCCATCTCAAGATAAAAAAATTTAAAAAAAAACATTGATTACAAAATTTTGGGGTTTTTATAAATTTTTTGGGGATTTTTATAAAAAAAAAAATTGTGGTTTTGGGTTATTTTGGGGTTTTTATAAAAATTTTGCGATTTTTGGAGTTTATATAAAAAATTGAACACTGAAATACCTAAATTTCCCTTAAGGGTATCTTGGGATTTTATAAAAAATAAAAATAAAAAAATAAATTGGTCAAAATTGACGACCAGGGGGAATTTTGCTACAAATTTTCAAATTATGAGGATTTATATGCACACACTAAATAGCAGGGATTTTTTTGCACATTTTTTAAATGGCAGGGGGATTTTTTGCACTTTACCCTAAAAAAATAACCAAATCAATCTACAAAAACACAAATACTAGAAGCATCGAATTCCATGATTGATGGCAAGAGAGGAAGTGCTTCATTTTGTCATTGATGATGTGCGTAAATTGTTGAAGAGGATGTGTTCAACAAGGATGTTACAGAGGGGTCCCAAATATGTAAGATCTGAGGTTGCATCTTAGAGAGAGAAAGTGTTTATACATATATAGAGAGAGAGAGAGAAAGAGAGAGGGAAAGAGTGGTAGAATGGATTAGAAATTGGTTGCTTGAAGAATATTCAATGGCTCGATCGGAAAACTTATGACAGAGTTGGGTTGGATCGTAACAATCGGTGGTCGGATACTCGGATTGGTGGTTAAAAATACAATAGATTTGGGTGGTTGTAGACCAAGCAGTTGCGCACACACATGCACACACACACACACACACACATATATATATATGTACACTTAACACCCATGTAGAGGGTTAAATGTCCAATTTGGTCATTCCCCATTTGGATCTTTTTTAAATAATGTAAGAAATGTTGACGTAAGGGTATTTAGGACTTTGCAAGAGTTTAATGTGTCAGGAGGTCCTTATTTGCACTCTTTTTAAACTTGAGAGAGTTTAGTGAACATCAAAGGGTATATACTAAGTCACATAAAGCGGGAGCGAAAGCGACTGCGAGAGAGGGAGCACAAAAGCAACATAATCTAAAATTTAGTTAGAGTGCTTGTATATACTATTGTGAGTGTAAAACGGTTTCAAAATTTTTTCCCGAACAGTAAATGTTTTCAATATTTGTACATATGTTAAAGTCCATTATATATTTTGTAGAATAATAAAAATGTAATTTCATAAGCACCGGAAAATGTGTTTCACCTTATTTCTTCAATGTTAGGAGATACATAATATTAGTAATAATTAAAATACAAAAAATTGTAATTTTTTAACAAAAAAATATATATATTTATATTAAAGAGATATTGTTTAAATTTTCATACATGAAATGATTACTTTACAGAATTATAAAATAATAAACTATTTGGTACATTTTGATAATTGTCATCCATAATAAAGGTTACATGTAGTTGTCCACAATATAACAAATGAAAATTCGTTGTGGATTTGAGGATAGGCAAATTGAATTCGACAAAATCGAATTCGCGAATTACGGAAGAATTCACTCTCAAAACGCCAATTTGCACGTGGAGCGTGAGAGCAACACCCTTTAGAAGAATTGTGTGTGACTTAGGGTGAATATGGACTGTAGGGATATACTAGAGGGGTGTTAAGTGCACTCAAGACTTGGAATATTCATTCAACTGAAGGTTTAAGGCTGCAAAATCAATTAATATTTGCAGCTATGTAGAGTCAAAAGCACCTAAACTGAAATCACCATGCTTTGACTCACAATGAATAGCTTATAAACAAAAACTGTCAGTTTCTTCCAAAAACTAGTGAATAACAGTTTTTCAAATTATCATGTAGTCTTATTTACTCTCTTGATAGTGTTAAAAGTCCATTAATCCTGTTAGATGCTTCAAAATTCCACTTTCTTCCTTCCACTCAAATTCTTTATTACCAAATTTCCCACAATTATAAATTAAAATAAAAATGAAAACAGCAACCTTCAAAAATGGCAACACAACCCAACCGAATCCATAATGGGTTTAATGTAACAAACAATCCGGAAAGTGAGAATTGGAAATCAAAGGCAAACATGAAACATGATGAAATTAACCATCAACATCATTGCATGCAACATCGCCAACGGAATCTTATATATATAATTATAAATGAGAGAAATTGACATTAGCAAATATAGCGCACCAATTGATGATGCACTGCATATAATCCGATCCAAAACCTAAACATGAGATCCAAGAACTACAATGTGACATTGGATATACAGTTTTTGAAGCAAAAATGCAAGAAAAAAAAATGTACATGAACTCCAATTCATGCCCACTCGATATGAATAAAGAATTGGCAGAACAACAGCGCACAAATTAGGTCTTAAACATTAAACAACAACAAATATCAATGATAAAATAAAACGGAAAAAGTACTGTAGATATAGATATAGATACAAAGTGACTGTACGAAATAAAAAGAAGCATACCTTTTAGGAAAAAAGAGGCGGGTTTGAGGAGGAGGAGGAGAGAGAGGAGTAAACATTTTGCTGCAACATTGTGTTTCACTGTATGTGTTCGTGTGTGAAGGTACGGTGGTGGTGTGTGTTCTTAATCAACCTATTGATTGCGATGATTGATTATATTAATTTAATTCAAGAATTATATAATGGAGGAAATAAAAATAAAAATAAAAAGACTGCTGCTACAGAGAGAAGAAACCTAGAGAGAGGAAGTGAGAAGAGAGAGCGTGTGTGTGGGGGTGGGGCGACAAAGAAAGGCGACGATTCTCTATGCTGCTTCTATAAGAAGGCGAAACTAGTCCGCTGACAAATGTGTGGACACCTGGCTTGGAATCAGACGGTGACGGTGACGGTGGATTATTCGTACATCGGTGAACTTTCGAATTTCGGCATTGAGATTTGCAAATTGTAATAAATTATAAAAGAAAATAAATGCTGATTTTTCCTTTTTTTCTTATAAAAAAATATTCATGGGGGAGTTCAGGACTTTTTTTGCACTAAAATCCTTCATATTCTAATGATAATAAGGATGATATTGTCATTTTCAAATTACCACCTAGTTCACGTGCCTATATAATTAGAAAAATTAATAGTAACGTCTGGTGTTTCTTTATAAAAAAGGTAATAATTTAGGGAGTTTATTGTAAAAATTAAAATTTATAGGAGTTTCTTGGGAGAGAAAGTAAAAATAGGGATTTTGTTTTTTTTGCATTTGATCTAACTTTTATCTTTTAAAAGTCATTAATAAAGGACCTCACAATACTTTTTTTAATACTTTGTTAGAGATGAGGTAAGGAGAGAAAATCTAAAGCCTAAGTTATTAGGATATATTTTTTAATACTTTGTTATACAGTCCATATATAACCAATCACTATTCCATTCGGATTCGGTATGGGACAAGCTCCCCTTGTTACATTCTTCCCCTAACTCGCAATATCCTAACTATGATACTAATTGTAATGGGTAAACGCTTGTCCATTTATCCAAAAGTTTAAGTCATATATACCCTATTACTCTCCTATCTAGATCAGATGTGAGACAAGTTTCCCCATGTTACAATAAGTCATCTTTATTATTTAAAAATTTTCATCCCTCTAAATATGAGATTAAATTACAATATTGTCATTTACAAATTACAAGATATAAAAATAATTTAAAACTCTCCTTAATTCTCTATTAATGAAGTCAGCTTATTGTTTTCTTTTCATCTAAGCGAACAAAAAAGAGAATACACAATATATTCTCTATAATGTCTCATCCATCTATTCTTCTTTCAGTTCCATTCAAATTTTATATTTTCTGCAATCATTAATCTAATGTAATTATATGGTGTAAAAACGTGAGATGGACCTATAATAATTTTTAGAATGGATTTCTCCAAATTTGTTTATGATGTCTAAACATTAATATTTTCGAAATTGGTTTTCCTCACTCATTGTGCTAAAAATTTCAGGTTCAAAACCTGAGTCATGATAATTCAACTGTGCAAATAAAATCATTTAGTAGTACCATTCTTTAAATGGAACAGAATAATGACCCTATTTCTGATTTGACATTCACGAGTTACGTGTTTGGGGTGTGAAATCACTATACACAAGGACCACACCTCTAGAAAATTTCAAAAAATTAATGGTTGTTATTGAATCAATAGCTTCCGTTTACACGAGTGTTTGTATTGAACCAGGAAAAGATATAAAATTTTGTTCACTCTATTGACAGCTACTAATTCAGACTCTTATCACCATTTATAGTCCCTATTTTTTTTTAGATAAAGCACCATTTTATAGTCTCTCTGTTTTTTTTTAGATAAAGCACCATTTATAGTCTTTCTTTGGGAGTATTTTACAAGACTAGTACACTTTATTTCTTTTTGAGCGTGTCAAGGAAGATGGATTGTTTCTTGAAACTACATGCATCGGCTAGCTCTTTCCAACTATTTTATTATTGTCATTTTTCTTAATTTTTAGTACATATTGTCATATTGAGTTAATTTTATTATTGAAATTCTATGGCTCGATTTTACGACTTATATTCATATTGTTCACATTGATATATTATTCCTTTTTATTGAAATGTTTGTAAAATTGATATTGATGTATTAATTAGTGTGATTCATTTGTTATCCGAAGACAATGAATTCTTTGTTAATGATGTCTTTTGAATTCGTGTTATATTTTGAACAGTTATGTATTATATTGTAATAAATAAAATATGTACAAGTTTTGTGCGCACACACGTACACACATATATATATATTATGAGAGGAAGAATACTAAGGACAGTAGCTTAAACGACTAATTTTGTCGAATTTCGGGCTTTAGCACTCCTCATATGAAAGAATATATCACTACCCCGACAACTTTTAAGCGTTCGGTTTGTTAAACTGAGCTAGACTACTATCTCCTAGGGTGGGGTTGGGGGCTGAAGAAATCACATGCTTGACCCTTTTTTTTTGAATGAAGCCCAGGGAAGCAGAGACACTGAAATCCAGTGCAAAACCCATCTCCCCCTTTTACTATTTCCCTTCATTTGCTAGACTACCATTTATCATATGCAGCATTGGTTCAAGAACTTAAAAGGTGATCATATGATTTAAAGAGTATGTACATGTCTGGAAAATTTAACAAGTACTCTTGATCTTTACAATTGGCTTAAGATCAGAGACAAACAGGAGGGTCTTAATGTGCTACCTTGCTGTGCCTTTATTATGGCTTATTTTACTTCTCCTATGTATTACATTCTTCGGGTCCAACTTGCAACCAGAAATTCCTTCTTCTCTAATCTCTGGCCCTATTTCACTGACTTCTTTTCTCATCACATTTTGTTCAGCTGCCATTTGCATCTTTCCATCCGGCTTCACCATTTTCCGAGAGCCTCTATCGACGCTGCCAGGAGTTGTGGATCTTCTCATGATTCCCTCGGATTTACTGGATTGTTCATCTTGATCCAACCTCAACTTGCTCAGGTCTTCAGCAGCAGTTGGCGTTCGCTGTCTACTAGATAACAGCTCTTGATGTGGTAGTTTATGACTTGTTGCCCTGCCTCCTCTCTCTTGTTCATAGAAGAGGACCTGCACCACTGTTCTCAGTGGTAGCCGCTCGTTCCTCACAACATGGGCACAGACTTCTTGGGACAATTTCTGGCAGTCTAGGATTCGGCACAGGCGCTTTTTGTCTGCTTTGGGCAGCTCAGGATGCTCCTGGTCACCAACACAGCAATAAGAAGTCCAAAATTGAATGAAGAACAGGAATTTGTTAAACAAGTGACCATAAAATCGGATGGTGCTAGCTTTTAGATGCATAAATGATTCAAAACAGGGTGCCCTGAATGCATAAATGAAGGTGAAAATGCAACTTTAACATTTTTGGCTCATGGGAATCAATGTGTCCATGGCATTGGCATTAGACCTTGAAAATGTTGAAGTATGTGATGATAATAATAACAATAATAATATGTAATATTTTTTTAGTTTGTAATGTTTGTTATAAGGTTATTAGTAGCATACCTTGAGATAAATGTTAATGGCCTTGTAAAGGTCATCGTGGTCAGGACGGGCAAAATCTGGCAAAGCTTCAGCAAGAGACACTACTTTTAGTACTGGCATGTTGGCATCTTTTGCAACTACTTGGAGATAAGAATCAATGAGCTTTGCAACCTTTCTAATCGGTCTCAGAGATTGGCTATGGCTATGTTCTCCAGTGGGTTGTCTTCGCCATTGCACGATGAAGCTTTCTAATACTGCCCTAACCAAGTCAATATCATAGAAATGCCCATCTGAAGAGGAGCTTGAAGGAAGCAGCAAGTCGTTTACGGTTGCCTCCTCAAACTGCAGACTGGATCGCCTTACAAGTTCTGACTTCGCCACCGGAGAAACCCCTAGAAAATTTGCTATGCTGAGAAGCCTCACCAGGAATCCAAATGAAACCGATCCTCGGTCTGCAGGAATCATGCTCACAATGGTCTCAAGAACTCGCCGGTTTTTCTCCACAAGTCCTTCAGTTTGTGAAGCTGAATTCTCTGGAGTCTGGCTCTTTGTGGTGTCAGGTAGCCAACGACAGGCGTAGACATGCAAAGCTTCGCCAATGAGCTGTGGTGGCAGCATGTTTGTCGACCTAACAGCAGTGACTATGCACCGGAACAGATCTATGTCAAGATCAGATATGTCCTCTGTCCACCAATCCTTTGGGACAACTTGGTGGTGCTTTTGAGCATACCCTGGTCTAGTGTAAGTGTAGGACCATGAGACCTGCAGGAGTATTCATTTATATCAAATGTACTTTAAAATATCAAAAGAAATATACATCCTACAAAAGTTTATGTTATATGAAAGTGCTTGCTTGTCTGAAGTATAGAAGCAAAGTAGATGCAAGTTTTCTAACCTTTGCTGTGGGGGTGAGTATTTTCTCAACAATAGAATCGATGCACCTTCTGATAATGCCAAGATTTTCTGACCATTCAAACAACTTTTTGGTGCTCTGGAGCGCGACAAGTGAGTCCTTCCAACCTTCAAGAATGCATGAATTGAAGAAGGCCTCAAGTTTGAGAACAAAATTTCCCTTCTCAACAGCTTCAGTCATTCGAAGGAACTTGGCGGCACAAATTGCAGATACAAAGTTATGGGCACTTAGATTGATTGTAATCCCATAGCAAAACTTAGCACACAGCTCAAAAGCATCTTCACCTCCCGGAATGTCATGAAGCTCCAGAGTAACTCTGCTGGAATCTTCGGAATCCGAGCAGAGTCTTTGTAACAGGCCGCACTTTGGAAGAAGTGGAAACTGCAGCTAGGAGTGCAACAATTAACAAGGACCTTGATCACTCCTAAGAAGATAAGATGCACATGCACATACTAGTCTCAACAATCCACATTTGTGAACATGTCCTGTTGAGTATTTGATTTCCAACAAGATGGTCTTTTATTTCATAAAATGGTTTAATCCATCCATGTTCAGAATGGTTAGAGTATTATTTCCCACCAAATCATACCTTGTGAAGAAGATAATTAATGTTGTTAATTCGTATGGTGAGATCGCTAGGTATTTCTGAAATCACCGTCCTGCATTGTTAAAAATAAAAAATACCATTACACAAACACACTTTTTTGGCAGTTGTGTATATATATATATTTCCCATAAAAATTCATAGTACCTGGTAGCCTCTTCTGTATAGAAGGTGTCTGGCCTTGTCCCGAGTTTCATAAACTTCATCTTTGTGATTATTGATGTCCTTTAACAAAAATGTCAATCCCACTTCATAGGACTCAGACATGCCCTTCCCAAATACTTTCAAAAGTACTCCAGTATCTACATTGGCATCATTTCACCATTACGATAAAAATAAAAAATAAAAAATAAATAAAAAGGAGATGAATGTCTAAAGTAAATTGCATTCACAATAAAACAGAGCCCTGCAGATACTATCGTCAATCAAACCATATCACTGGAAAAATGTAAGTTCATTCATTAATTTTCTCTCTTTCTCTTTTAAACACTGTTGATGATAAAAGATTTGACTAATGTAGGGATGTAGGTTGAGTGAGCAACCACTTTTGTGTAGAATTATTAACGTCAAATGTTAGGTCTAATATGTTGTCCTTTCCTATTAGGCGGGCTAGAATACAATAGAACCCGAATCCTCCCCAGTGGGACTAGCGGGGATGTTCACAGGGAGGGTGGAGATCACCCCACATGCATGATCTCCACCGCTTAGCACATGACTTGCACGTGACAGGTTTCTCTCTGGCATATGATTAAAGTTATCCCCCTTCTGGGGTAGAAAACAAAAACTGATAGTGTCATATTAATTTTGATGGAAAAAATATTGGACAAGAAATTAGATATATTAACATCCAGACTAGATCACAGTCAAATTTGACTGAAACTAATGTCATCCCTGGCCTTGTGAAGAGACTACCATGAAATACTGCTAGTTTTTTGGTTAAATAAATGGTGCAACGTCTATTTTCCTTGGGGAAGGAAGAGAAAATTAGAAGAGCCTAAAGAAATCTAGGAAGAGATGCACAACTACAAACTACGTTAATGGAAAAGAAAAAAAAAAAAAAGAGTATGCCCTTCAGTATATTAATACAAATAAAAGATTCAAATGAAAATGATAATGAGTTCCAGTAGTTGAATAGACGTGTTTGAATGAATGTAATTAATGATAATTTGGCTCATAAAAATAGCCACAGAACAAGGGGAAAAAATGAAAGATGAAAAGGAAATGGAAGAAGAAGAAGTATAGACCTAACATGCAGATCATGAAAGAGAATTCTAGTTACATAGCCTCTATGCAATTCACTATTGAATTAAAATTGGGATCACTTACCATACACGAATCACCATTCATCCAGAAAGGATTCCAATCATTTCATTCCATCATCTTCCTTTTCCTTATAGAATCTTACCCACCATATTTACATATCAAAGAAGAAATTTTCTCCCACACCATAGAGAGAAAGAGAGAAATTTTCTAAATTTCTAATTTTCTGCCTGTAATACACTTTGTGCAACACGGTGAGAATTGGTGAAGTGTCTTTCAACAGTTGTATAAGCATATATATATATGGCGTTCTGTTTTGACACGGCTACCAGCCATGCAAATTTGTGTCTATATATCTTTGGATTTGTGTCTATATGTCTTTGGATGTTTACACGAGATTTACTCATAGTTAGTAGAGTTAAACACTTATTCAGATAATCACATGCGTTAGCCTGCGTTTTTAGTGACTATAACGTCAGCCAACCACCAACAACTCGTTTTATTTTATTTTTGACACAATTTTTATTACGGCAACCGATTTACTGAGTAGAATTAAAGATAATCACGTGTGTTAGGCATGGTTTTCAGTAACGCCAGTCAACCGCTTGTTTAAATTTTTTTTTTTCGTGAATTCTTACCTACTTTAAGCTACCGTCTGATACTATGATTTGGGGAGAATTTTTTTTTTTTTTTTCTCATTTGATAACAATCTTTTATACAACACACGCTTATATATACCAAAGCTCTCCAAATAGAAAAAGAAATTAAATCTTCTATAATATGTTAGAGTATTCTAGAAAGATATAAATTTCTAAAATAAATCTACTAAAAACTATTTGAGTATTCTACCGATATACAAATGTACAATAATTGCTAGTAAAAAAAATTCTTATTGTAAGACACCCGAGAAGATTGTAGAAAATGAAATTAAATCTCCTACAAAAATACAAAACTTCTAAACAAGCCCTTAAGCTTTTCAAGAAATGAATTACTGTATTTACACATATTTATTATCATCTATAAACAAAATAAAAAATAAAAACACTTGGACAATAATTGAAGAGGTATTTCATCTAGATAACTGGGTCAAATATATTATGGATGTGATATTCATTTGATGAAGGGCAACCTACGCCAAAACCATTCATTAGAAAAAGAAAACCAATTTTTGACTATCACAACTACAGTCACTATTATAAGATAAAGATTTTGGTGAACAAATTGAAAATGATGTATACACAACATTTCACCATACATTTGACAAATAAGTGATGAAAGAATAAACTTTTTTTGGTGATTAATAATGGGTTATAAGTAAGGGGCCATTAATAACCTCAGAGATTGTTTGACATTTAAAAGCTTCATACACCCCACCCTCCTGCACAAAGGAAGAAAAAAAAAAAAAAAAGAAAGAAAAATTGAGCCCCCCACCTAGTGGTGTGTGCTTGGACAAACAAATGGTGGTAAAAAATAGGCACATGAGTATGAAGTACTTTTCATCTGACAAAAGGAAAGTCCCAAAGGGTTATTCTTCAAAATAGAGAAATAACAGAAACCTCACTTCTTTTTTAAAGTGGGATTACTACTAGATCCCAACACCATGAATATGAACAACCAGAAAATACCATGTGTTTGCTTATGTCATTTCTTGCTCCATTGCCCTTATACTTCAATTCATTTGATGTCATTTGTTGTGGTAGTTTAGCCATACATATATATATATATATGAATACATTGTTTTTAGATGATAAAGAGCTCCTCAATAAAACCCTAGTGAAGTTTTATTATTTAATTAATTTCATTTTGTCCATATTCAATTGGAATTTCTTTGAGAAAGCATGCAGTATATACATATTTATATATATATATATATATATATGCATGATTGAAGTTTTCTTTTACATCATTTATCTTCTAGCTACCAAAGTATGTCAGGATATGTATAACAGAAAGTTAAAAAGCATCTTCAACTTTTGGTTGGTTATATATATATATATATAGACTTCTCTAGAGGGATCAATTGAAGTATATACTGCAGAAAAGATATATAGATGAATATAGGAAGAAGCATACCACAAAAAGCTGATTGATGTCATTGATCCCAATCAAACAGCATCATTTACCATTGAAAAGGCTCAAATTACCCTTTTCAACTCCAATTATAAGCTACACAACTTTGAGAAAGCCATTGTATCACCACCTCCTCTTACTAAACCAAAGCCAATTGTGTCTGCACTCAAATCAAGGGCAACATATTTGCATATGTATCTATGAAGATGAAATCCCATATATACATGTATATGAAACAACAAACAGAAAATTCAACTTTCTCCATGCATGTATGGATACACTCCTTGAGAGAGAGAGTGTGTGTGTGTGTGTGAGAGAGAGAGAGAGAGGGCTTATGGATTTCCGTTAATACTACTAGAATTTAGACATTTGAGCAAAATAAAAAATAAAAAATAAAAAATAAAATAAAAAATGAATATCATAAAGTCTTACCAAGATTATTGGAGAGAGAGAGGGAGAAAGAGATAGAGATAGAGAGCACGTTTGGATGGGTTTAGTCAACATGGAAATGTATCAAAAGCATAATATAGTGAATTTTTGAAAGGAATATAAAAGGGGTTGGAGTCTCTTTATCTAGGCCATAAAATTATGGTCCTCTAAGATTAATTTTTTTATTTTTTTATTTTTCTCATACGTAACATGAGGCTTATTAGCAAGACTTTAAAACAAAAAAACAAAAAAGGAAAAAAGGAAGTAGGGTCCACATAAGAAGTATCCACTATGCAATCCTCATCATGGTTTCTCCTCCCACTAACCATTGGTATATTCTCCATCTTTAATGGCCAGAGTTGGGGTTAGTATCGATTTTTCATTTTGCTGTCGTGTCTTTTCCTACACCGTCCGATGCATACCCTATATGGGCTTGATGGGACTGGTCAGGTTTGACACTGATGTTGGTTGTTCTGGAGACCAGACACAGACAACTATCTCTCTATGTGTCACAGCTTGTTGGGTGCGCGCGAGTGCAGGTTTGTGTGAGTTGGTGTGTATCCTACGTGTATGTATGAAATTGTTGATAGTGTGTCCATTAGGGTCTATGGTCCCACTTAAAATTTATTTTAATGAAATGAAAGGGTTTGGGACCCCCATAATCTCTCTTTCGATCATTGTGAAGCTTAAAGCAATATCAACAATTTTAAAAATATTCTCACAACAGTATCACCCATTTCATCTAACTAACCCAATAATGTATGTCATGATCACATGGCCATCATGATATTTATATACATAGCATGATCATCATCACAGTTTTCATGATTTTTTATTTTCTAATTTGATTTTAGTCATCATTTTTACGTAGTATATTATATAATCTTTCTTTTTCTATAGTACTCCAATTGAATCTTCAATCTAGGTTGAATTGCTCCTACTTTTAACCTTGAAACTAAAAAAGAACTCTAGAGTCGTTTGTTCAACTCTTTTCCATAATGTTTTGAACTTTTGTATCCATTCACTTTAAACCTCTTGAATGTAAATTTTAAAATAAGCTAAAATGAAGGGAAATTTTTTGTTGGCCAAGGCCAAGACTTTTGATGTAGGCAAACTATGGACCAGGGGTGAACAATCTAGGCTCTCCTATGCACAACTGTAGAACGAGGTGGATCCTTCACAAAATCTTCACCATTCAATAACTAACCATTCCGCCTCCTAAGTAACGTAAACTTGGATATTTTTTTGTGCCATTTCATCCTGTGTTATTACTATGTCATTTAGCTCGATTATAAAATAACTCATATTATTTATACAATAACTTCACATCGAATGTGTAATAATTTTACATCTCTTATACAACAATTACATTACATCGTTTATGCAACAATTTTTTTTATATACATGTTATACTACCATGTAGTGTGTTGCATTAGCAATTTATACTAGCATAGGACAGAAGCAAAAATTGAAGTAGCATTGCTCTTGATCATTTAGATTCGTACGCTAGATATAGCAATAGGCTATTAGGCTTTAGTCCCACCATTTCAAGTTGTAATTGCGTCTTGGAAACTTATAACGGGTAACACTACACTAAGAGATAGAAGACAATTAGATACCACTAGCCTTAAAGTTATTGGCTATCAATTGATACAAATACATGTACGAGTAGTGATGGACTAACCACTAACCGACATTATAAACTTAAAAGGAGGGTCAAGAGGTTTTTAATCCTCAGATACATTCAAGTGAGACCCGTGTAGGTTCCACCTGTATGTAAATGAGGGTAGGAGAATCCAAACCCTTTTATTCGATTCAGTTTTGAGTGCCACAAAATAAATTTCAACGTACAAACATATGATTCTCATGACTACAAGAGCAATAATGTCACATGCAATTCAATGCACGCTTAGGTATGGTTGAAAAACCATTGCTTCAAAATGGCGCTAGTCAAGCTCCCACTTTAGTAGATGGGCCTACAAAAAGGTCCAAAGTAGCTATTTTCTACCGACATTTGGGCAGCCAGGCCTAGTTGGTGCCACCGCATTACTCACATGTCTCGTTCTTACAATTTGGGCAGTGCCCTCACACCTCATTACCCTTACAATTATATGTTTAGATATATATATTTTCTCTATTATATATATATATTGCACTTAAAGAGACTAGAACCTCTAAAAGAAAAAAAAAAATACCACTAAGCCATGGTATTTTTATATTCTTAAGTTTAAATACTAGTAATTCTCTATCAGTCACTTTCTCCATTTATTAAATATTTTATTAAAAAAACCCAACCCTTGTTATAACCAATCTAATTAACTTTATATTTATTATTATTAAAAAAATATACCCACAATATTATTCATAACAGAGTTTAAATAACATATGTGTTAATGCCCATTAGTGTCAATATTAATTTAGCTTTGTCCCAAAATTTTGAATGAGTTGTGCTATTCTAGTATTTTCTCCCTCCGATAAAAAGTGTCTGCTTTTTATTTTTTTGATTGTTCCAAAACAAGTGTCTGGGATCAAAATTCAATGAATTATTTTTAATATTCCTAATTTACCCTCTTGTCTTGAAATAAGTATCTCAACAAAAGAATGTCAAGAACAAAATTTTAGAAAGACATGTTAGAAAATTCATTTCATACCACTAGAATAAATAATAATAATAAATTACACTCTTAAAAAATTATATTTCCAGAAAGATACAGTTTTTTGTTTTTTTTTGGGAGGGGGGGACAAAGGGAGTAGTATTTTTTGCCTTATGGTGGGCCCCTTGAGAGTTTGTTTAGTCAGCTAAAACATGACTATGGAAGAAAAAAGAAAAGAAAAAGAAAGAAAAAAAGAAAAACTTGTTGGCAACTTGGCATTCGAAAGTTGGCACACAAAGTTGCAGGGATTAAGGAAGGTAGGACTAGGCCTGAACCATACAAGACTTTGGTCGATGTCGGCCTTATAAGACAAAACTATTTCTCATTATTATCGGGCCCACTAGAGGCCAGCCCATATTTTAATCAATGGCAAGTTGGCAACCATCCACAAATTTCAAATAACGTACAACAAAGTTGTTACTTTTTCACAAATGGAGAAGATCGAGTTTGTAAATGAAGGAAAAAAAAAAATAATCTAGGTGCTACAATAAAATCAGATCACTTTTATATCAAATTACAAACTTACAAACTAAAAACGAGTTTTTGCATATAATTAAAAATTTTACAAATTCTGCGGGAACAAAAAAATACAAATTTATCAAAAAAAAAATTGTAATGACCTGGCAAATAAAGAACCTACAAAAGTAAGGGGAAAAAAAAATGAGAGAGAGAACAAAAAATAGATGGAGGATATATGTAACTATTTTTTTTATATAAAATGAAAAGGAAAATAGTTGAGTCCTGTCCATCAAGACTGATTATGTCATGCACATTAATGTGTCCCAATAAGAAGTCGACACCTCTTTTAAACTTAAAAAAATAAACATGGGTTATACACATTTTTTTAGGGTTAAGCCTGACAGATCTATTTTTTTCCTTTTTACTCCCATCCGTGTATCTTTATCTGCATCTTTTTTTTTTTCTTTTTTTTTTCCTTAGTCGCTAATCATTCCAAACCTAATATACCCATTGTGTCCTCCACCACTCCGCTTCATATTGGATTTCGATTTCGATTTGGTCTTAGCAAGGATTAATTCAATTTCTTAAAACAGATATGTTAAAACGTTATATTTGTCCGACGTGTAATTTTTGAGTTTTTTTCGCTTTCAAAAACAAGAACAATGGATAACTTTCATTCTTATTTACAGAAAAAAGGTATGTAGGAAATAAAAATAAGATAGAAACCGTATAATTGAGTGAAAAAATGAATAACTTTCATATATAGCATGTATAAAAAATAGTTGAGGTAAATTTTAAAAATGAGAAATAGAAATGGTAGTTCAATTTTTTTAAGGATAGATTTCTATCTTAAGAAAATTAAAAATAACAGAAAAAGGTAGAAAATACAATTTTCCATGAGTTAATTAAAAATAACATTCAAATTTGAGTAAGAAAAAAAATAAGTCTCTCGGGTTTAACTATAAAAAATGGATATAATATATGTTTTGTATTTTTTTAAGTTTAAAAAAGTGTTAATATTTTATTGAGACACGTTAGTACAGGATACAATCTGTCTTGATGGGACAGGACTGAAGCATTGTCCTATTACATATACATATTTATATCTACAGAGAGAATGCACCACCGAATCCCAGCACCCCAGTCACTGATCCATAAAAAAAAAAATAATAAATAAATAAATAAATAATGGAGAAAGAGATAAATGGCCTAATAAATAAATAAATATATAGGCAATGAGTATTCAGCACTGGGGTTTTTGGGTTTAGATCAAAAGCCCTATCTTTCCTTTTTGCATAAAGAATTTGCAAAAAGTTGAGCACAAAATCACACATACATATAGATATTTGTTTTTGTAAGTTTGATTTTTCAATGAAATGAAACTTAACCCTGTGAAGATGGAGGTTGGGACAAGATATTTCAGGATTAAGGAATAGGAAAGGGGAAGAGTGGAATGCAAATTCATGATTTCCAAATCTCACTGAATTTTATTTCAATTGCATAGGATTTTAGAAAGTTATATTGTTGCTTTAAAATCTTGTCACATTTTAAATTTCATGTATTTAAAATCCCAGCAATTATCAAGAGAATCAGAGACTTAATGGCAGTAAGAAAATGTTAATTATGGATAAGATTGTGGAATTTAAAGACAGACAAATATATGGAAAAGATCCATATCTTGATATATTTTTCCCATCCATTATTTACTATAATTATAACTTTGACTTTTTCTTTTTCTTTTTCATTTTTTTTTTTTTTTTTTTTAAAGGGCAAGAATGTGTTACATCATATTAAAGGTCAAAAATGTGAAAGCTACTAAGGGTTTATTTGGGTGTAAACC